TACTATTACAATGTGCATTGTGCCTTTGAATGATTGATGTCGCTACAGCCATGTTTGATACGGCAATTTGCTTTGAGTTCCTACTGCTAGTGTGTGCTTGTTGTTCATGTGTTATACTCGATCTGACTGTATGTCAGCTGACAATCTTTAGAAGAGAAAAAAAAAGAGCTAAATTTCTTTTGTGTGTGGGAATGAATGTACTACCGGTAGTGATGTGCATTTACCGATAGAACGGGAACCGGGTACACTATTGAAGCAAAACACGGATATCGAAATTCAAATCCCGGAAGTTGTCTGAACTTTTCTTTATAGCTTTACGGGGTAAACTGCAAAATTTCGCAAGCGTCATCTATCGCGTGTTAAAATTCAACTTAATGTGAAATCTGTTTTGGTTTGTCATGTAGCCAGGTTTTCATTTTGAAAATTCCCCACAGATGTTGAATGCATTTCTTTTTAATTATTTGAGAAATTACTGAGCAATTTGTAAAGTTGGTTATGGGTACCCGGTCTCATAATCTTGAACCGGTTCCTGACATCAGTGGTCGGTATTCGAGTACCTGGTTGCGATGTACACCCCTCGAATGTATATGTTCAGTTTTCATAAGCACAATCTGATCATCAGCTGATAATCTTTTAGTTTATACAGAAGCCTGATCACATCAGGTTATTGCATTAGTTTGCAAAAGTATTGTCATTTCGCAAGGGAAATTTCGTTGAAATGCCCTGAGGCATATTTTCATCAGAATTAATCAAATGAGGGTTTCAGTTTGATATTATTGCACTTTCCCATTTTTTTGTACAGAAAAAAAATCTCAAATGTTTTTTTTTGGGGGGGGGCTCAATAGTTTTCTTAGAAACCAATAAGACATTTCATTTCATTCTCAAGTCAACCTTGGGTCAGATACCCTGAAGGCAAGACAGTGGCTATCAATATTAACTTAACAGCCTTGAAAGGTGTCTGACTATTTTTGACAACGGACTTGTGTGAAAGACAAACCGAGGTGTTAAGAAAACTGTGTCACTGCCCGTCGGCTCCATTAACAACAAAGGCCCCAAATTTCCAAATCTAATTTCATGAACTTGTCAGAATAAAAAATTGAGATTCAGCGCACACACACATGCAAATTTGGTGAGACGTGCGAAAAAATGCATTTACCATGACGACAGCAGCTCCCGCTTAATTCACTGACCGGAGACTAATATAACAAGTCCGCTTCCCCCCTTCCAACCGTTCCGCCGTTTCATCAGGCAGCGACTTCTGTGACATTTCACTCAGAGTTCTCGGGGAAATATCGAGAGCGCTAGAGGGTCCAGGCTCTTCAGCTGTGTGTAATTGCCTCATAAATTCCGCGACGACTTTGCCCGGTTTTTTTTTTTTGAGCCACGGAGTTCCCCCGGAAATTAGTTACGACGGATGAAACTTAATTACCCGGTGTTTACTCTTTCTACTGACTTGGAATCCGTTTCCTTTGCTGGCCGTTTCCATTTTTTATTCCTTTTCATATTCCGATTCCCTTTCTTCCTTTACTTCTCACGAGCCTTACCGGACAAATGTTTTGTTCGCGTCTCAAAGGAAATTTTGCTTGAGGGTTTTTGACAAGTCCATCGAAGACCTCGAAGCATGAAGCAGGGAGGTGTTGTATTTTAGTGGAGCGTTCGGGCAATTGATGTCGGGAGAGGAAGTCAGTCCGTATATCTGAATTTTAAGAGGCTGAGTGTATTGGTGCACTGGGTATTTTTATTGGAGAAAGCAAGGGTAATCAAAGTATGAGGTCCCTGTTTGTGTTCTTGTTTTGCTTTGGATTTGCATTGTGTGGTACTTCGCATTTCATCCGTCCACAGAACGTCTTCAGTTCCCGCAATTGTGTGGACATCTTTTGTTCACAGGTCCACACAGCGACTGCAATGCTGTTATGCTCATTGAATCATTGAAAGGGGAGGTTCTTCCATTTTGCCAAAATGCAGAAATGAGGTCAAGCAAGCACGAACGTGCGCCTCGAACAAAGACACGGTGGCTTTAATAGCAAGCATGGTCAAAGATTGGGAAAATGGAATTCACGTTGATGACGTAAATTAACCAAAGGGTCTCACCTTGGGAATACAGCTGTCTGTAGGTGGGGCAGTTAATTTGTCACGCAATATTGCGGCGTCGGTAGAATTGCATCGAAGATGACTCGAGTTATCTCATTGATTTTTTTTTTTTTTTTTTTCAGCGGCGAAGAGTTGAGGAGAAATGTCATTCCAACTGATTGCACATTGTTATGATTTCCTTCTGATAGCACGATCTGACGACACTTGACTGTAATTGGCTGTTTTATTGTTTGACAGGATTGAAATATAATCTTATAAAATATAGTCTATGGAAAATATCCCATGGAAAGCATGGGTCTATGATACGCGAGCAGATTCGGTGATTAATTATGCAAAACAAGACTGCGTCTTGACATCGAGATTCTGACCATTCAGCAGGCACCTTCTATATATCGGGTCTTTGGTAACCCGTTGTTGTATTACAGAAACATGGCATCCAAATTGACCAATCAACAGCTTAGTCTACAGTTCTGATCAAAACGACGTCTCTGATTGGCTGGCATGCGGGGTCGCATAAAAAGTTGCGTGTCATAATGTATCAGATGTTCGACCGTACATCTGCACACGTGATACTTGGACTGTATAAGACAATGGAAGTGTCTTGATACCATATAGTTGCTTTCATGTCTGCATTCCTGTTCCAAAACTTCTCCTTTTTTGGGGCTGAAAACAAACTGTTCTTGTGATTTTTAGACATGTTTCAATTATTAAAATGTTGTTTATTCAAATCTTTAACACAAGACCCAGCCCATCTGCCTTAGTTAAGAATTTACAAAACTTAAATCAAATACGATTGCACTTTACATGTACATGTAGGTATTCACTTTAGCACGCTTTATGTTCCCTTCTGTCACGAGTCAGCCACCTTGTATAGGTGGCAAAAGAAGCCCTCTGAAATATGTCATAAAAACTTTAGAAAAGTAGAAATTACATGTGTGATGTGACAGAGGCAAATTTGGCATTTTAGATTTTTGTGCTCTGATAAATATTTCAAAAATATGAGTGAAATATCATCTTGTGATTGACGTTGAATGCAATTTTTTTTTTACATGTGAGGCGAGCACTACTATCATTCCAAAAAATAGTCTGGCTCCTTGCCATTCCAGAAGCTACATGTAACATAAATGGAATTGATTCGGGAAATGTGATCTCATGCATGTACATGTATGTACGTATTTCCATCTCGTTTATAAGGCCCCTGGGATTCGCTAAGAAATGAGTTCTCGTGACTCTTACACCATGATGCAGTTCAATCACCTCAAAGATAATTCTTAAGCTGGAGGCTGATTATCGTCACGACTTGAACTCTTTTCCTGCCAAATATGATACCTGAATCGCTGAATCTCCATCCATGGATTATTCATTTGGAGCGTTTACTTTTGCCTGAGTGTTTTTTCCAAGTTAACATCCCTCAGATGGCTAATCATTGTTATCAGTATGCATTAAAGAAAATTACTTGTGGTTTTTACATGATAACATTGCATGGATATATGATATCAAGGCAGCTGCACTCAAATCTAAATTTCTTAAATGAACACCCACCCCCTCCATATTTCTCTGGGGATCATACGACTTTAATTACTTTTTTGCTCATGTCTTGCACTTGCTGAGACTTACATTTTTTTCTGAAAATGGGAGCTTATTTTTTGTGCCTTGTGGCCTTTTTTGTGGGTAGCATCGAGCAAAAGTGTGACAAGAGGTTTGTCATTAGCAAATTGGGGATTTTACTCCAAACTTTTGGGGGATATTCAGAGGGTGGCGAGGACGATTTGGAGGAGGGGGCTGGGTTGGAAGATATCATTCAACGCTTGGGAGCGCTGTTCATAATTTGTATCATGTGTTCTGGATATTAAAGTTGCTGGATTTTAGGTCCCTTGACTGAAATTTATTAAAGTTTAAAGGATCCATGTGATGAGTTTTTCTGAGGAACACAATTTGTGCAACTTTCTACTGCTCTTAAATTCATCAAAACTGTTTGGCATTCAGTTTTGTTTTGTTTTTATTGAAAAAGTGCACTTCTTAAATTTTTTAATTTATTCCATGCTTTTCCGGACAGCTGAGGGCGCTGTTGCTGCGATGTCATTTCAGGAAGACACTGTTCAATTTAGGGGTTTCTGTTCAAATTGTGAACCCAAAAATTTGCTCAATGAAAACATTTGTGAGAAACCTTTGTTCATTGGGTTACTGTTCGTACTGACACCATAAGGAATCACCAAAGGAAAGAAAATATCCAAAGTTCTGGCAACTTTTGGTACTGAAATAGCTGTAACATTGAGGTTTCTGCCTGAAATGACATCACACTTTTGTTCATGAATATGGAAATTTGTATTAGCATAAAACCAAAAAGGCACCAAAACACCCTGGAAAATGGCAATAACGAAAATTGAAAATGTAGGTTAAATGGGACACAAAAGTGCATTTTCAAGGAAAGCACAAAAACAAATTCAATTTCATGGACTTTTCAATACCTACATGTACAACCTTTTTGTAATGAAGGGGCTTTGAATCCCCCCCCCCCCCTCCTTACCCACCCATACAAGTCTGTATTTGCCTGCAATCAGGGACCCCTATTGTCCCTCTTTTGTTTGACTGTAACTTTTTAGGAAGACCTCCCATATGTTTCATTCACGAATCCAAATAGGGACCTCTCAGGAATTGGGGACTCTTGTGTCCTTTATTGTTCAACGTCCCCTATTGAATGCAGAAACAAACTCACCAACCCAATCTCCATCCCCAAACAGCCACTCCCTCCCCCACCAGCCACTCCTTCCCCAACTGCCCCATCCCTGCCCCACCCCGACCCCACCCCACCCTCCAGCATTGGTACACAGTGCTAATAATGTTTATACATAAATTTGGTTAAAGGACAAAATGTTAAAAAGACCATCATTCTCATCAATACACCACAGAGGTCCGACTACCTTCACCGTGAGCTCAGCAAGATGGCCCAGGCCTTCAGCAACATCCGACTGACCCCCTGGAGGTTGGCCACCATCTGGGGTGGAGCCAGCCTCCTACAGGTCTACCTACGCTGCATGGAGGACCTGCTCAACATGGCGGACTGGCAGTGGGATTTCTTCATCAACCTGAGCGAGTCCGACATGCCCATCAAGTATGCATGTGACACTCAGTTTTAAAGTTGCATTGCCCCTGCCACTTTCGACTTTCATCCCGAAAGATAGATTCCTTTTCTAAATTTCTCTTTTCTAGCAATACAAAAGTTATTATATTTCCACCGAATGCTTAATAGGGCGACTTACCCATAGACTTGCGCACGGACCTAAAAAAGTGACTTAACACAAGTTTACCTTATCCTGCCTCCATGAATTTCGGTAAACTTATGTTTGGGCCATGAGGAATTGATCTAGATGGTTTGCGACAATAAAATTCCTTCTTCTAACGGTCATTTTAACAAAAGGGTGATGCCAAATTGTCCCCCCCCCCAAATAAGGCGTGTTGCCCTCGTATAAATAAGATCTGTCGCCCAGTGGCGTCGCCAAGGGGGGGCCAGGGGGGGCACGTGCCCCCCCTGGAAAACCTAGTGCCCCCCCGAGTGCCCCCCCCATCTGAGATTTGGGTTGGTAAAAAAATATATATATATTTTGTTATATTCAACTCCCATCATCTGAGTTGGTTAAATAGCAATTTCTGGAGATATCTTCAGATCGAATTTAGCATCAAATGTGGCACCATTTTGCATCTAGCCCATCCTCCGTATGCGAAAATTTTCCAAAGGGGAGGGGGGCACCCCCTCCCCTTAGACCCCTCCCCCAGGACGGCGATCCGTATCCACCTAAGTGCCCCCCATCAAATGCTGGTGCCCCCCCTGTGCCCCCCCAGACTGAAAAGTCTGGTGACGCCACTGCTGTCGCCCGCGTACTCGGTATTCAGAAGTTTTCACTTTTGAATGAGACATTGACAGAAAAAATCGGCCCATGTGTAGTGATTGAATTATAACTTTACAATTTTAGAATTATTGACTGCCAAACAATAATTCTGTTTTAGCAGGGTAGGCTGGTTCCCGCCCCACAATCAGTATCGATAAGGTACGGACCGGGAGCCAGTCTGCTCGCAAAGCAGATCTGTTTGTGCCCAAAACAAAAACACTTTTTTTTTTCAGAGGGTTGCAGACGTCTAAAAAAAAAATTAAACAAAGACATTTTGATTGGACTTAAAAAAACAAGTTGAAAATTGAGAGAGAGAAAAAAAAATGAATTTGTTGAAGATCACGGGAATGCAACTTTAAATTTATTTCAAACTGATAACAGAACGTAAAGGAAAAGTTGGAAGGGGTTGGGCAAGAAGCCAAATTTCATTCAGAATGTTTGAAAACAAAATGGTGGCCTAAGACAAAGTAAAAGGGTAGACTTTTCTGTATGTTGAAATGGTTACTAAATGATTTCCATGTGGCACATAATTTTGCTAGAGTGGTGCATGTTTTTTTTTTCAGATTCGGAATTCTGACTTTTTTTAGTTGGTATTAGGAAGCGCCACCATTGGCTGCGCGTGGTAGGACCACTGACAATAATGCACTTTTCTGTCCGGTTTTTATTTACAAAGAATCACCGATGCCAGTATAAAAACCCTGTAATTTACAGAGCATTAGAAGCACCTCCTTGTTGTGTCAACCAAAATTAAATGTCTGGGTTTTTTAAAATCTGTTTTGGGTCTCTTGTTTCAGGACCAATGAGTACCTGGTCAGCTTCCTCAGCCGGTATCGCAAATACAACTTCTTGAAGGCTCACGGAAACGACGACGAGAGGTAGGTGGTGCGCCCCAAAAGGTCAAAGGTCATAGTCTAGGGTCTGCTCAGGAGCCCACTGACCCATTAGTCTGATTTCAAATTTCTCGGCTTTCGATACCTCGGTAGGAATCCAGTCCCTCTGGGTTGGACATGAACTTCCCACCGTACTGTAAACTGGTAGACATATATTGACTGGTTATGAGGTCACTAGTGCATTTCTATGTACCTAGAGGGACTGTGAGTGACCACAATTTGACCAGGAAGGACAATAGGGAAATAGGAACCCACAGGCCCAAGGGGTCATAAACTTTCACTAGTGACCGCATGATTGCAGTCAATATACGTGTATGTTTTATATTGACTGGCACTGAGGTCACTAGTACACATCTATGCATCCTTAATAGGGACTGTTAGTGACTGCAACAGAACCCCAATTGCCAAGACTGGAGGCTGAATGAAGAATAGGAACCCACTGTGGTCACTCACAGGCCTGGAGTTGGGGGATATATGTGCACTAGTGACCATGTGTGTGTATATACCCCAGTCAATATATGTGTTTTGTAACACACCACAATCCACGAAGACGTGACTTCGACTGAAGTATTTGAGAGAGGTGTGTTATAATGAGCTATATTGCATGATTGGATGTGAACACGGTGCATGTGGACTTGTTTAGCATGATTTGCTCATTTGAAAAAAAAATTCTGCATCAGGAAAGTGGGAGGTTGTCGTTTCAGGGAAATTGGCATATGAAAGTGGCATCAAACAGTGTTCTAGATGGGTCTATTAGAAGTCCAGTCACTACAAGTTATCCGCTAGCACGAGTGGGACACAGAATAATGTAGTGCGTCTGTGTCCCACATGCCTCTCGGCCGATATATATGGGACACAGATCACTACATTTTCCATGTTCCGCGTTAACGAGTTTATCTTCAAGCAACTTGATGCACAGTAAAGTTGGAACTACAGCACGCTTTACGCGAACCTTTTTAGCGGTTTAGCGCATGCAGCTGGAATGTCGCTCAAATCTTGGAATAGCGCAATACGCAGGGTGCGATATGGACCGTGCAATAATATCACACCGCTGTTGCCGTGGATCGACCAATCAGGATCGAGGATACAAGTTTGCTTGAAGATAAATGTAAATCACAAGACAATTACAAGTCTGGTCTCCAGTAAAGGGGGATGAACAGTAGTTAAAGGAATGCCTTCGTCAAAGTCCATAGCTTGTTACTTGACTTAGGACTGAATGACTTGTAATGGACTTGTGATTGACTTGTGATGAACTTGTGATGACTTGTAATGACTTGTGATGGACTTGCGAGGACTTACGAAGGACACATTCACACCAGTCATCTGACAAAGCATGAGTCTGTACAGGGTGGTGGTTCATGGTTTTTATGATAAACATGAAAAGCGAACCATTTGGGGGATTTTTGCAATCCTTTATTTTAAACAAAAATGTGTTGATGTTTCCTGCTTCATCTACCGCAAGAGGAAAACGTTGTTCCCTTTTTCTAGTCACGCGGACAGAAAGCTGACAAAGCTGGGCTGGAAAAAGAAAGTGGTTGTGGCAGGATAATAATAATAAAAAAAAAACAATTCAGACTTAGAACATTTATAATTTTCAGTGCCAAAATAAACAGGATATACATGTATGTGAAATCATTTCTAGGGGGAAAAGAGGTCACGTTATGTTCTCGGCAGTATTTAGGGGGAATTTCCCCGCGCATTTCCTAACATGATTGATTTTTTTTTATTTTTCCCAAGCATGGTTTCGGACGTTCGCATCAACTGCATGGCTTATTGTACGTTGAGTTGCAGGTTTATTTTGCTGTTAATAATTTGGACAAGAAGATTAACACTGCCAAAAAATGACTTTCTTATAGTTCTTATTTCAAGAAATTCTTTCTTGTATGAAGAACTATTTTCTCATCTCACTCCCTAAAAAAAAGTTTCTTGGGACTAAGACAAGAAGTTTTTTCTTAAAATAAGATTTTTTTAGTTATTTTTTTCCTTCTAATTTGAAGAATATCATTTTTAGCAGTGAATTTCTTCATGAATGTTTGCATTAATTTTAAACAAAGCTATTCTGATTTGAACAGGAAAGACAAAAAGGGAAAACGAAAACCTGGGTAAGAGTATAACCTTTGTGGTCTTTTTTTTTTTTGGAGGGGGGGGGGAATTAATCAGTTTTCAAAGTTTGGATAGATGGAGATTTAATATTTGTTTATTTGTCACTTTTGCCTATGACTCATCACATTTCGTGGTAACTTTTGTTCTCTTTTTTCAAACTCATTTCAATTTATTTAAAAAATCAAGCTTTTTTCCCTTTAATGTAGCAGTCAAACAATTTGTTGGGTTTTTTTTTTGAGGAAAATAAGTTGTGTTCGGTTTTGTTTGTTTTTTTGCAAATTTTTTTTTACCATGAGACGATAGAGTTTTTCTTTACCCTTGACAGGATTTTTGTTCTGTGTGATTTGTTGAAAAGTTATGGCTAAGCTTGTAAAGACTGTCAAAATCTGTTAAGGCCACTTTTCAAATTATCTGGTTTCTAATGAAAGGCATTCACACACCTTCTTGGTATGTGAATGCCTTTCATTAGATACCAGATAATCTGAGAAGTGGCCCAACTTGGAATTCAATTCCTTTCGTTTAATTGGCTATATCTCTGGACTGGGGTGTCCAAATGAGATGGGATAAAGACCATTGCGTAGAATATTTACTAAACTCTCACACTTTATAGAGAAGTATTTTTAAAATCGATGGATTGACTGCTACATTTTTATTGACACACCCTGAACTCTTCCACTTTCCTTTCCCTACCATCCCGGAAAACTTGCTCTCTAACCACACAACATTATTTACTCAACCAAAAATAATCAATGACAGTTTTTTTTAAAGGGTTCCACTTCACTCATCTTTTTCCAATTTCTACTTCCCATTTCACGTTTGCTGTGTTTTACCAAAACTCACTCGGTTGATTAATGTATGTGTAAGTATGTATCACCAACAATGACGTCATGTTCCTTTTTAACACTTTTATCTTCTCTTGCATGACAGAGGGGGCTGTTCGGGACTGTTCAATAAAGGGAATTAAAATGTCTTGGCCGGTATTAAACAAGTACATTTACAATGTAAAACCGGCGACCAGGCCTCAAGCCGGTTTAAAACGCACTTGTCTAAAGACCGGCGAAGCACATATTTATTCCCATTCATAAATACCTTTGGGCCTAAAAGTCAAAACAAGTCAAAAAATTAAAAATTTCAAACAATTTTGTTTCACTATTACTTTATGTTATGGTATGTGCCTCTCGCGAGCAGTACTAATAATCTCCTTATATGGAGATTGGTGCGCACGTGGTGCATACTGTACAATGTTGTGCAGAACGTGGCAGTGCCGGTGTAGTGTGAATTTAGGACTCAATGAAATACGGACTCATTTGAAATTTTGCGCATGTCTAAGCGAAGACTGCCAATGTTCACCCAATAAAAGGGCGTTTAAAAGGGACCAGATTTCATAGGAGTCCAAATTTCATGTGACACCGGAAAAGTGACGGTGTTTTATCAGCCATTTAAAATCACCCACTTGATGGTCTCAACCATTAGGAATGAATCAACTGTCTTGTAGGTATTTATGAATTTACTTTTCAATTTCGCGGTTATTAAGGAAGGATACCCGCTCAATTTTATTGCACGTTCTACATCTACATGTAGCTAACTTGATTGCAAAACTAACCTGATGTGTTTATGGATTAATTGTATGTTTACTAATACACATTTTCAGATCACCTGCTGTTTTATGCATTCATGATGTTTTTATCAGCAGTCACCACCTTTTTTCCCATAATTATTATTATTATTTTTTTTTTTGAGATACATTTCCAAAAAGTCACAGAAAGTTAAAACTAAAAATTGGCCTATAATTGGTTACCCTTACATTTATTTGCCCAAGTCAAAAGTAGAACAAAAGTTATCTTGGGTTAAAAAGGTATCAGAAGCTGAAAATATCTGTTTCTCATTTGAAAACTTTATGGGTGGAATTTTGCTACAGGGGACATTAATTGTATTACTGTGGTTTGCCCTGCATTAAAATTCACGTCTCTGATGGGAAAGTCCATTAAAAGTCATTTAGTTGCATTATTTACCCACTGCTTTATCAAGCTCAGTCCAGCGAGCAAACCCTTGGAAGCTACTTAGTGAAGTGCACAAAAACACAATAAAGGGGGCCACTTTGCTACCGTCGTCACGTTAGCAGTTTTTCCAATGGTTGTGATTTTTGATAAATACCTGAAACCACCAAAGAAGAATTTCAACACATGAACGGACATGCAGCCTTTCGCTAAAGATAATTTAAGTTAATTATTTGTATTGCTTTTTGACATTATCCTCAAATTTCCGTCAAATAGTAGACGGAAAAGTTAGGTAACTTTTTCCGTCCATTTTTGGATGGAAATTTGAGGGTGATTTCAAAAATTGAAAAAGAAAGAAAGAAATGATTCAACACGTATTACATGTATTATAAGCCTGCATGTCCATTCACATTTCAAAAACATTTTGGGTGGTTTCAGGTACTGTAAAACAAAATACAACCATTGGAAAGTACTGCTAACGTGACGGATGCAAAGTGGTTCCCCCTATTGTGTTTCTTGTCACTTGTAAGCAGGAGGTTGCAGGTTCGATTCCCACCCAAGCAAGCTTGTGAATATTTCAAACGCATTCTCAAGGCTGTTTCATACTCCACGTGAATTTCTGTGTTAAGCAAATTCATTAGCAGTTCGAGCGATTATCGCTTATGGACATTTTGACCTTTTCCCTACACAGGCCAAAACAGCCAATCAGCGACGGCGTTTTGGTGTGCCGCAAAGGATTGTGGGTGTTACCATGCGACAGCATTATTTTTTTAAGCGTTAAAGAATAGGGAGCTGAATCCCCTGGCCGAAACCCTTCGTTTGGACAAATTTGATTGGCTGTGCAAAATAATGGACTACACAGACATTATCTGTACGTTCCAATCTCACAATGTTACTGCTGCTTTAGATATTTCATCTTTGCAAAACCAGAGGATTGATCTTACAGTTTCGACATAGTCATCATGTTTTGTTACCTGGCGTTTATGAATTTTTCCATGGTCAGTGGCCGCTTAGGGGAAAGGACACTATGCCCATAAGAGGTAATCTCCCTAACTAATTAGGGTAATGACAAAAACCACAATGAAGCTTCAGTTGGTAACATCATGACATTCGCTTTACATTCATTTTCAGGTGTAGTTTGAACAAGCCTTTATAATGGTTTACAGTGCTTATGAAATTCTGTCGGTGAAGGGAAACTAGCAACATTTGAATTTTCATGTGATGCTGAATTTTGCAACATTATCCATCGCCTCTACTAGGTTTATAAAGAAGCAAGGCCTGGATAAGGTGTTTTACGAGTGCGATACCCACATGTGGAGGCTGGGCGACCGCAAGCTACCCACGGGCATTACGCTGGACGGAGGGTCCGATTGGATCACCATCAACCGTCAGTTTGTGGAGTACCTGATCACGTCCAAGAACGAGCTGTTGACGGGATTGAAGCAGATGTATAAGTACACGCTGCTGCCTGCCGAGGTAGGTGGCATCCAGGCTGGAGTTGTAGGCTAGAGTTGTTTTGTAAATGGTTAGGGTAGTTTAGGGGATGTGGAGATTCTGTGGGCAATAGATTGTGTGGGCAGTTAAGCCCTGCCGTCTAAGCACATGGGGGACACCGCATGTGCCTCACCAATGTCACAGTGCACACAGGCCCCACAGCGGAACCTTTAAAACTTATTAAACCTCTATTTCAGCTTGAAATCCTAGTTTGTTTTTAACCCTCCTGCTGTGTGAAAAGTCACAGACAGTCAAAAAAATTTCAGTCATCTTCCCCTGCTATGCCTTTTACACAGGCTAGTCACCAACAGTTAGATCATATTTGAAGCAAGCACTGTGACTTGTCAAATTCAGTCGGCAGACAAAAGCAGGCAAGTGGTAGGACTAGGCACAGCTGGCTTATCAATCACCTGCGGTCAAAGCATAGCTGTATCAAGTTACATAAACAGTCACAGCCAGTCAATCCTGCTTTATGCAGGCTTGGAGCTCTCAACTGTTAAAAACTGTCAAATGATTGATTTTGACTGAAAGGACAACTTTGCACAGAATGTACATGTATGTTTGCACAGGAGGGTTAAAGTGTCTATTAGAAATTTTTAAAATCAATTTGACCGACAGTTTAATTTTCATAATGCTAAAATAACCACATTGTTCCTCTCAAAGATTGTTAGCTGCGGGATAGTAGCTCAACAAATCATCATATCTCTCCGTTATTCCGTTAGTTTAGTTAGTAACAAACGTTGACACTGTCTATTGCTCCTACATATTTTGACTGATTTCAACCTAACGTTCTCAAAAGTATCAGTAGCCCAGCCCCAACATGTCACATGACCAAACTGGGGTCAAAGGTCATCATTGGGTCACTGGGGTCAAAAACCTGGGGTGGGTAGTCAAAACTCTACTTCCAGAAATTACAGGGCACAATTTGCCCGCAGCTTCCAAGATATTTCCGATCTAGCTTGTTGAATAAGTGTAACTTTATCTAGTGTGAAGAACTTGAAGTAGGCTATTATATATTGGCTGTATTTCTGCTACCTCATCTTGAAAAATTGCACCCTTTTTGCACCCGTAAAACCTATACTTATCTACATATGTTGGCACTGTGAGATCTGTGTATACCGGTATGTGATGCGATCAAGCTAAATGAGTCGTTGGTCGGGAACTTTCATTTGGAGATACAGGCCAAAGTAGGGCCACTTCATCACATCACTTCATCACATCACTTCATCACATCACTTCATCACATCTGTAGGTGTTCCGACTTCCATAATTTTTGAACTAAAGATGGCACCATCATGCAGTTTTCACAGCAGTAATGCTGAGATTGTGCTCTTTTCAAATCTGTAAAAAAAATAATAAAATGACCAGGGTCGACAAACGACTCATTTAGTTTGATCGCGTCACATATGTTCAAGAGATGATGCTGCGTGCATCATGCGTAAGTGCACACATATCTCTGACTATTTGTCAGACGTATGGTGCGGGCAATCATGGCTGTGACTTCTCAAAGCATCATGGCATAGGCTTAACGGATCAGTTCAACCAAATTATTTTCCAACAAGGGGTGGGGCACGATAGACAGGGATTTAGGTTAGGCTTAGAGCTTTGATAGATTAAAAATAGTCGTGTTTGACATAACAACCTCAAGCGAAACACGTATTCCATTCCAATGAGTAATCATGGCTTTGTTCAGTTCTAAATCTCTAATAAAAAAAGATTATGATATATTTGGACCCGGCATTGGATTTAAGCAGCTTTTTTGTAGTTGAAGAATAGGTTTGAAATACATTTCTGTCCATTGCAATGTTTACTTTATTAGCCTGTATATTCAGAAAATATACTATAAAATAAATAAAGCTAATACTTCCCGTTAATATACCCTTCAAGAGACATTTTTTGTCATCAGTTTATACCTAAGTGAGACAATGGACAATGTCACAACTCCAATTTAGAGGTGAAATTTTATTGTCCAAATAGGCTAGATCGATGGCTCGTTATCCAAAACATAATTATACCATATTTCGTAGGGGTATGATAAGGGAAAATTGGGGTTAGGTGTCATTAAAATTGGAAACATTTTGTGCACGACCCTATGGGGATGTCTCCCTAAGGCACCATTTCAAGTCATAATAATTTGTCCTTTATTTGACTAGATTTTTCATTCTGTTTTTCATTTTTTTTTGGGACAGTCTTTCTTTCATACAGTCCTGGAGAACAGCGAGTTGTGCAAGACGTTCGTGGACAACAACCTGCGCGTGACCAACTGGAAGCGCAAGCTGGGATGCCAGTGCCAGTACAAGCACATTGTGGACTGGTGCGGCTGCTCCCCTAACGACTTCAAACCAGAAGACATGTATAAAACAAAGGTTAGTCTATTTTTGTGGTGAAATTTGCACACAAAAAAGACTTCCACTATGTGGCAATTCCAGTTTGTGAGGTTCTTGAATAAGGGGATAATAGTATGGTGGAGTAGTCACAGGTTCTAAACCAGGAGGGGTCTGAGCCCAATCTGATTGACACAATAATTAGACCAGCGCACCTGCTTGTCTTGGGAATTTTGTAGCAGTGGTTTAACTTTTTCTTTATTTTGTCCCTAGGCTTTCCTAGGCAACCAATCAGCGATCGCGAAATAGTCAAACGCGCGTGCCGCACGACAGTTGTAAATATATGCGCTACATGCGGAAATTCAACTGTGAAGTGTGGTGATCAAACATCACTAATGCAACTCGGTGATAACCGCGTGTGACTTCCGGTATCAAATAGGAAAACGCCATTTTGTTCAACGATATTAATATTTACACCAACGGTGTTATTTTCATAAAACGGCCATGCCCCCATTCCTGCGAAATTCCCAAGACGTTAGTTAGAGAAAGTCATAAACAGCGTGAGACTACAACTATAACTAAAATCGCTATCGATCACTGACGTCTTGGCCCAAGGCTCAGAGTCGCTTAGCATAACAAAAACTCAGCCAATTTGTTTACCGAGAGAAATTCTGCAGGGAACATTTTGACTGGCTACCCATGTTTGCCCAGCAGTTAATTTTTTAAAGACTCACTTTGTAAAAGACTCACACCATACCTGCTACAAGCTTGCTCTCAATAGCAGTGTTTGTTCTCATCCCCAGCCAAACCGTCCAGCCTACTTCGCCCGCAAGTTTGAGCCAGTCATCAACCAGGCCGTCATCAACCAACTTGACACGTACCTCTATGGCGCCTACCCCGTTGGCACTGCGGGCGATCGCTCGTATTGGCAGAGCCTGTACCACCGAGCAGACGGAGCCACAGAGGCCCCCGGCGACATCCCGCTGACCGTCTATCAGAGCTTTGTCCGGCTGATGGCTGCCCACATCAACCTGGTGTCCCAGGTAAAAACATGGACGTCTGAACACTTCCAAGATTTCCTGTTCAATTTTTAAACACTCTTTTCTGTTAAATGTGGTTTTGAGCTCTCGTGTCAACCCATTAGCACTTTTATTACATTGTATTACATTGTACATATTTACTCCTTGATGGGTTCACAAAACCATACAGTGTTGGGCAGTTTTGGGGCGGTACAGGTTTTGAATGTATGACTGCAGAGATGCAAGTAAGGTATTGCTGGAAAGCTGTTAAACCAACCAGCAAGCAACCTCACTGACAGTGTTGAAGCTCACAATTTTACACACTACAGGGCGAGTCAAAAAATAAAAGGAAACCCAAATGGCGCCCCCTATTTTGGAAAGAGGTTCTGCATGTGGCACTTTCCAGAAGCCCAATTAATAAGCTTTCTTTTAGTACAAGAATCATTCAAATCACTCATGTACCTTTTGAGTAATGGAATTTTGAACACAAACACAGCTTTAAAATTGTGTCCACGGATCACATTTAAGGTACGTGATATTTTAGCTATTAACAAAACCATGTTGTATCCTGAAAGTGATATCAGAATAATCCCATAAGTCTCCGGGTAGCTAAGTAGAAGGCAGGGCAAGACTATAAACTCTTGACATTATAAAGCATGTTGTTTTAACGTTGGAAGCAGAAGTTGTTTAAATAAAGGTTATGATAAGTGCCAGTTATCATGGTTATGAGAGTGTTCTGATGTGTTTTCTTGATAAAGCGAAATGTTTTCATTTTGCTGAAATATCACTTAAGTTTATTGTGATCCGTGGACAAAATTACAAAACTGTGTTTGTGCTTAAAAGTTCATAACTTGAAAAGTACATGAGCGATATAAACAATTCTTTCACTAAAATAAAGCTTACTAATTGGGCTTTCGCATCCTAGATCTTGAACGCGCTACATGCAAAACTTCTTTACAAAATAGGGGCGCCATTTGGGTCTCCTTTATTGTTTGACTCGTCCTGTACATATAATCCATTATTTTTGGATTACCTTATTTTAAACACCTTGTTAGTTCACCATGCTAAATTACGGAAGTTTATTCCTTGGTCACTTGTTGTAAAGTGTCTTGCTCAAAGACACCAGGGACCCGATTTCCTGTCATGGTATGACATGTTGTAGAAGTATCTACATGTTTAACCTCTGTTTTTTAAGCTGTTGTTCATCAGTGAAATCGTCATTTGGATTGGAGTTTATCGCAGAATAATATCAGGCTTTCAATGCTAATGTTACTGAAGTGAACCAGTACCCACATCAATTAAGGGGGAAGGAAGGAGGAGCGGTCCTCTAATCAAAGCAGACGAGTGTTCAAACAAAATATACAATCACTATGATATGACGACTGTGATCTCCTGAACTTAAATAAATTTATTCCTACAACACTTCAAGTTCAAGCATTCAAGTCCCTGTGCACAATAGACTAAATATGACAGTAAATACAATGTGTGTGTGTGTGTCAAAGTTCAACACTTGGCTGTATACGCTAGACACTATTATAGTACAATGAATCATGTCTCATCCTGAAAATACACAATTTCTCTCACAAAACCAGAGCAACACTCACTGGGAACATTCTATGAAATTACCCTCCCACAGTGATATGCTCCATACAAAAACGAGAGAGTTTTCAGAGACAATTATATGTCTGTCTTCTCTGCTCAAAGCCCACAGAAGAAAACTTGTTACAAGTTGCCTTTGCGCAGGAAGCACAAAGGTCACACTATGCAAATCACTTGCAAAACTTTTGGACGCACAACTGAGGGCACACTTGGTCTTCCTATATTACAATCATATAAATTGACCCAGTGAGGCTTTAACACTTCCTTTTGTTCTTTGACTGTGTAGGGCCACCCGTACGACAACCACTGTGCCTACAGCATCAAGTCTTCCCCGACCGAGGTCACCTTGTTCTTCCAGAACGACGACTTCCGGGGCGTGGTCGTCTCGGTGGAAGGCCAGACGCCAAATGGTGCCACGGATATACTGGAGGTGTGGTTGTCGCTGGCCAGGGAATTCAGAATAGTCAGCTACGTCGGGCCCAGTACACGGCTGCAGAAATTTCAGGTTTGCGTCTTTTGGTTGGCATGTTGCAATATTCGGTAGACATCTCATAGTGTTACCACAAAATACTTCCATGAGCCTATCAGGCCTTTATCTTTAAACTTTGACATGAATGCTTGCCTTGGTTAGATGCAGTAGCAATTTTGGTGTGACAGGACGCAAATACTATTTTTGCAGCTCGGTAAAGTCATTGACCGTAATACGCATGCGTCAAACATATCCTGATTCGGAATAAGTTCTTGTAGCTCATATTTCACGGTGGTCAGCGTGGTTTCACTATAGCCTGTAATACGCATATGTCAAACATATAACGTGAACAACTAAATTTGTTATTCCTCTGTCTTGAATACTGTATTTTTGAGTTACGAGTAACGATACTTGTGATGACATGTATCGATATTGGATGCATGCGATTACATTTGATGACTTGTCATGATGACATGTGGTGACTCGCAATGACTTGTGAGTGACATCTGATACTTTGTGTTGACACATAATGACGAGTGATGACTTTTGATTGACTTGACTTCCAACTGGACAGACGATACATGTATTTTAAGGAGTGTTTATCTGTACACAGGTGGGCACGCAATACGACCTCAAGGAGCGCGTCCTGCGCAACTTTGCCAACATCATGGGTCCCGAGGACAGTCCCATCGTCTTCATCAAATGGAAACCGGGAGAACAAGTCCAGGTGACCATCTCCTGGATCGATCCGACCAATCACATCGCGGCGTCGTTTGACACCACGGTGGACCACGACAAGGAAGAGACGCACCACAGTCCTCCGTTTAAAAAACCGCTCCGGCCGGGCAAGTGGTACGTCAAGCTGTTGTATCAGTGGATGGTTGTCGCTGAAGTGGAATTCCTGATCGTCCCGCAAGCCCTCGCGGAGGGCAGGCCGATTCAGCGCCACGACTCCATCATGCTCAACTCGGGCGTGCCCAACAACAGCTACGTGGAGAAGGACTTCTCAAGCATGAAATCGATCTTCCAGCTGGGGGACTCGGCCAGCTTGATCGCGGAGGCCAACAAGCGAGCGCAGAACGTGGGGGAGGCTCTCCACGACTGGGTGGACGAGATCGTTGGCCAGCACTGGTCCGTCATGGGCTTCTGCGTGGCTCCGACGAACGGCACGAAAGTGGCCGAGTGCCGGCAGTTCAAACCGTGCTACGGTCAGTCCTGGAGCACACTGTCACCGGATTCCAAATCGGATCTAAGTCATGTCAAAGCGGACGGTCGGATTAGGTGATAAACAAAAACACAAGCTGATTTTGGAATGAGCCGTTATTGGTTGTTTTACTCACTCGTCATGAATACCGGTGAAACTGGTTCCTTTGTGTGACGTTTGTAGAATGCTGCATAAAATGCCACAGTGTTCAAATCTCATAAAAAGGGTGACGAAAGGTCGTTTGGTAATGTGATCTGTGGATGCAACATGACGACTCAACCTGAATCACTAGCGGCAAAATGCGTCAATTACGCAACAATTTCGGTTAATTCCAAGCTCAATGGACAACTGCTAGTGGTAAAACAAAAGAGAATATTTATTTTTATACAGTAATTTAACCCTGTGTTCAACTGGTGCTGTATATATTAAGGCTGTTAATAATGAATAGAATTATAGTTAGTTTCTAGTTTTATATGTTTTGTATGTCATAAATACCAGTTTTATATCCTGCATTGTAAGTGGTGTATCTTAATTCGGCAAATTCTGTTTGTTGTTTTACCCTTTTTCTGTGTGAGCTGCAGCACAGGACCCTTATTTTTTTTTTTTTCTCAAACTCTTCTCAAGCAAGTTCCAAAAATAATCTCTACTGCAGAAAGGCCTAAGTTCAACAATCATTGGCTGACTTTGTGGTCACATAATAGCAAAAATGTGAATGATCGCAAGTCAAGCATAACCACTGAACCTCACATCCCTGGCTCCCTGCTGTACATTGAAATACACATGGCATGTAACCAGTGATGTGACACTCACCACCGATATTCCTGGTAGTGTTTTGAGAAACTAGTTTATAGAAAAACTATGAAGTATAAAACTATAACAAGCCTAAAGTTTTCAGATCATGCCAAAAAATAAATGTGCATATTATTTTTAAATTGTGAGGGCATTGTCTGCTTTGAAAAATAATAGTTGTTTAGTTTGACATTTAGATACAAAGTCTGTGGAAAACGTTTGCCCTCAAATGGCAAAAGTGGAAAACAGTACTGCTATGGTTGGACCACAGTACACACAATTTCATTTCATCTGAATGTGCTCAAACTCACAGCATCTTTGCGCCAGGCTTATATGGCTGCAATGCCTGCAAGTGTCCTGCCAAGCTCTCTCTTCGCAGCCGTTGAGGGGGTGCTTGCGCATGGAGTCTAAAGAAGGAGTTGTGCGCGCAGCACCATCAACATGTACACTCCCAGCACAGATTCTATAATAAGCAACTGACCAAGTTCATGAAATTTTAAACTATAAATTATTTTTTCTTCCGCGATGTTTACAGACGACAGCATTATGAGTTGGTATCTGATGATACAATTTTCATTTTTATACTTAATTTTCTATGTTGTTTTGTCTACCTGTATGTCACTGTTTTGAACATTGCCACCTTTTTTTACCACCTTTGACAAACAAAGTAGAGGTGTTCATTAACTGTTTCTAAGAGGCTTTTTAAAAATCAGGTGGGTGCCAACGGTTGGTGCTGGTGACTAGTTGATAAAAAAATTGCAAAAATTAAGTATTTTTTTAATGAAGTGTAGCAAGTTTGGTTGGGGAGGTGAGGGGAACAAAGAAATATGGACTCATTTTTGGCTGTCTATACTTAATCTTTTATCAGATTTTAAAATAAACATATTATAAAGTACTTAAGTTTGAATGTGTCATTTGATAATTAAAAGTTCCAGACTTTTGTTGTAAGTCTGGGAAAAAGTCCTGCACGAAAAAGGCAACTTTTAACAAATCAAAAAAGATCTACCAGTCACATCTGGCAGGAAGCAGACTGCATGCTTAAAAAACAAAAACAAGCCAGTGCCGTACGTGTGACCAATGAAATTCTCTGCATTTAAATGCCTGATTCAGACCTAGTCTTCTGCACTTCAAAACCCTTCAAGTTTTTGCAAAACCACTTTGCTCATAGAGTAAGCACCCACACTTCAGATTCCTTTGAGACGATTTAAGGGAATAAATGTGTGTGTTGGGATGTATTAAACGCTATGATTAAGACTGGTTGAAGTTTGGAAGGCTGATAAACAGCCGAGTTGTAACTTAGTGTTGTACTTACATTTTTCTTTACCAGACACTTTAAAAGACGCACTTTTAAACAATCGGATTTTTGACCCCCGTGTTACCCCTTTAGTTCTAAACAACACCTATGTCAGATGTTTCAACCTGTCAGCTATATTCCCTTTTTAAATTCCTTCTCACTGATATTGAAAAGGGGGAAACTCTGTAAACAACCTCACTAGATGGCCAATTTTTTTTTCAACTATTTTTTTTTTCGAACGCAAAACTTGTTGGTGCAGAAGTATCGTAGCCTGCAATCATTGCGTGCGAAATGTTTCTAGCTATGTCAATAGAGGGCGCTGTTTTTCTTATGTTTATTATGGGAAGAAATTAGTTCGGCAAACAATGCTCTATATTAAACTGCTATTGGCTCCACCCCCCCCCCCCCCCCCCCCTGATTAACATAGTTATTATTATTAAGCAATAAACTAGGAATCTTTCCATATCGGTGAAGTTAAGAACTAAAGGGGTTAGTCCCTGGTGTTTAGTCCCTGGTGGACCGTTCGGGAGTTTAATGTACAAGGTACACGGGGGTCTAAAATCAACTGGATCTATTAATGTACATTTGTATCTTCATAAGCTGCTATAAATTCTATTGTTATACCGTTTGTTGATTGAAGATTGTGAATCATTATTTTGGTGATTGAATGCCAGTCTGTTGTCCGGTGAACTAAATATATAGATCTTAACATCTATGTGGACCAAACTTAATTTGTTTCGTACTGGCATACATAACTGATAAGCTTATGCATGCACTTTGAAACCGTACGCCACATTCATTCTCCCCACCGTTAAATTTCCCAAACAGCAGAAAAGCTAATTCACTTCATGAGTCTATTTGCGTATAAATTAGTTGGGAACAGGGTACAAAAGGCGTCGAGATCTGTGCCAAAAATTCTGTGAATACATAATATATTCATCAATGTAAATATTTTTTTGCACACTACTGAAAAACAGTCTTGAAATTTTGAAAAAGAAAATATGGTGGTGCTTTTAATATTTTGATACGTTCCACGCTGGTATAAAAGAGGCGTCGTATTGTTTGTTGCCATAATGCATAAGCATTTTTTTAACCCACAATTACCAATTCGGCCCATTAGAATCAAGGGTGACCACAATGGCCAAGTTCGCGCAAGGACTATAGTTGACCAATGGTTAACTAACGTTTGCCCGAACTCTGGCTAGTCGACGGTGGTTGACTACGCTAGTCGACTATGTGGAACCAGCCTACTGGGGTTGGTTGCTTCGCTGGTAACCAATAGCCGCGCGCATTCATAACGCTAGCAGAGAGCCAGGATCCAGAAGTTTTGCGATGACATTTTTACCAGCGGTTGACTAGAGACGTTCGCACGTTGCTATTAGTGCGCAGGTGTAAGGTACGTTACAAATCAACCACTAGTCGACTAATGGTCCTTGCCCAAACTTGGCCAATATTTCTGAGTTCTAATTGGTTTGGTTAGAGTTTATTTGACCCCTGACCTTTAGTCAACACGATCCGCATGCGACATCACGTCCGCGCCCATGGAACGCGCTATGTCGCCACCATGTGTTTTCCTCGAAGAGGCCCGTTCTCAAGTTCACGGGCAACATTGTGTTTTCATGTGGTTAATCATTCGTCTTTCATTGTTAACGTGTGCGGTACCAAACAAACACTGCATTTTAGAGCCTTGGTGTGTCCTCACATAAATTCAGGTGTAAAACTGCGCGTAAAAAAAAAATGTTCTTGTTCAAAAGGAATAACCATTTGGCATGTGGATGCCGAATTCTTCCCATAATGAACCGCGGGAAACTCGGTCTCCACGTTGTAAAACCCTGCTGCGGCGCAGACTGTATTGTGATTCCCTTGAATGTACGTTGATTTAGCTTGGTCCAGGCCAGGATTATCCAATAGGCACAGTAGGCACTGTGCCTAGGGCCTAAAAACCGGGGGCCTACGAAAATATCACAGTGTGACCTGACCATGGCTTGCTTAGTCCTTAACATCAACAAAACATTGTTTCTGGTGCCTTAGGCGTAGTAGGGCCTGCGACAACCCTGGTGCTACTGATAATCCTAACCCTAGATTGGTCCTTTGTGGTAAAAATGATGATATACGCCTGTGCGATAAGAAACCAACAATCGGATTCGTGATCACCGGCGCTAGGGGCAGGTACGGAGCTAGAGGCGGTGATGGCTGTGCTTTTTGACATTGCTGTCCGTGTGCCAAGGTATCCCTTCTGAAGTTTAGGCAAACCACAGACTCCTGCCCTTGTACCCAGGCGAGTGCGCATCACATAATATGCCTATATCAGGCTAATTTCCCCTATATTTCGACAAAAGTTGATCCCACTTGTTGAATGTTTTTTCACAGACAGTAAAGTTGTTTTCAATAACTGTGTTGACCAATGAACCTCTGTACTGATGACGTCACACACCCTTTACGTGCGCGTGTTGTCCCAACCAGGCTCCCATAAGAAAGCACACGTGTAAACAAAGTGTGATGTCATTGGTTCAGAGGCTTATCGGGACATTATCGCGACAAATATTACATTAATTTTGTTTTCTAAAATGTATAGAAGCTAACACAGCACCATAACTGTGGACATGATTGTCATTCAACAGTTAGTGTCTTCTCATGGCATGGTATGTCTAGCTCCTATTGGTTTTTTTTACATAATAAATAATGTACATGTAAATGTATGACTTTGATAAACGCTATATGTACATGTAGCTGTACGTTTAATGGTTGCGATTTTCATTTGGATTTGTGCACAGTGCACACAGTTTTGCCCTTCAAATATGTGTCGCTTGATAAGTTCATATCAACAGTACTTCAAATAACACGTATACATGTATTGCTGTTTTGTTATAATTTTTAAAGCAGTAAGCCTGACAGCGGCATAAAGGATTATTGTTTTAAGAGTTCTGATCAGGAACTTGATACTGGTTCTAATAAAATGTGTAAAAATTTTACCTGAACGCAAGAATTGTCTCTCCTAGTCCCACTTTATCGCATTTTCTAACTCTTTCTTCTTCTCTTTTCAAGAATCTTTTGCTCAGTGACAAAATTACTACAGAGGATTTGGTGTGCGGGTTTAATACTTTTTTTTTGCCTGGCAACCGACCTGCAATGTAAATAGCCCATACGCTTGTGAATACTTTTTGCAATTTTGGGGATACAGAGTATTGTTGTGATGACAATACCCGATGCCATACTATTGTCACGCCGGCTTAAGTAATCATTGCCAAGGATTGAAAAGAACGAGCTTGCCATAATGACCTCGCGATTACATATTTCTGTATAAAACGGGACGGCGTGTACACGTATGAAAGAAAATGTTTGGCATTGTCGCACTTTGAGTTTTGCCATAGTGTGATTTGACACATTACTATTGTGTAGCGGTTTTATTACTGCGCTCAAGGCTCTGGTGCGTGCTCAACAACTGTCGGTAAGTGAACATTTATTTTATAGCGGCTTCACTTTAACGGTCTTGTTTCTCGATCATAAAGCACTTATTATCCACGATTGTAGCTATTGTTGCACGAAGCAGAAAATTTCTGGGCACAGTTTTATCTGAGTTGCCTGCATGCATCTGGGTATATGAAGCATTGGGAATCGACACACTTGTACTTGTGTGCGTGATTGCCGGGTTTGGGTAATATACAATTACGTGTACACCATGGTTTGAGGTGGAGTAATGGGCATTACTGGTCTCGAGGTGTAGACGGCTTGACTAGCTGACCTACACCTCGGGACCAGTAATTCCAACTACTTTCCAAAAAATAAACCATGCTGTATTTGTTTTACTGTACTTCATAAATATTTAGTAGTGTAGCCTCACTGTCTTTTATTAGCCTCACTCGCATGACAGCGAGCTGATGACGTCACCTTGGCGCGTATGCATTTTTACTTCCCGGACGCGCGGCGGAATTGGCCAATGACGCGCTCCAAGTTGATCACGAATATTAATGAGGTGCAGTTATATACTCTTCCCGCTTGTTTTGGTTGTAATAGAAGACTCCCAAGAGTGTAAAATGGTTTTAAGAATGTTTTCTGCGACATCGAAGACAATTTCTCAATTTTGATTACGGTGCGAGTCGGCATCATTTCCCATCACGAAGTAAGGCTGAAGGAGTAACTCCAGCTCCAATGCTCATCTGATCAGGAATAATGGACCGATCCAGTAAGCCCCACCCACTGCGCACGTGGGCAAATTAACACGTGCTCCTCTCCACTGCCACACTGCATTTTCCTGCCGCGCGCACCATACGCGCGTGCACGCATGTCGGACTTTGGTGCACGCACGTCGGACATAAATCACGGCTGTGATGGGTCAGAATAGACCGCTTGCAGACGCGTTCGATAATCGACGCGCGAAGGCGCGCGACGCCATGTTGTGGGACAGGCGTATATCTATCCACGCACATTTTGTCCCATAACATGGCGTCGCTCACCTTAGCGCGTCAATTATCGAACGCGTCTGCAAGCGGTCTATACCATGGGCGGTGCTTACTGGATCGGTACATAGAGCTCAAGCCAAAAACTATGTCCAACGGAATATCCATATACTGGATTGTAATAAGAGGTCCTACACAAACGGGACTCTCTGTATCTTAGTCCAGCGGATATGTGACAAAATATCGATGAATTGTGCACTTTTGCATAAAAGCGTGAAACTTGGCACAGATGTTTATATTCATGCGAGAAAATGTTTTAGATGTGGAGCCATCGCAAATTTACCCTTTTAGGGGCGTGGCATCCATTTAAAAAAAGGGGGCGGGACTTGTCGTGCCCGCAGTAAAAATGGTTTTTCCCACTTGTTACAAAAGCAGGAAACTTCACAAAGACATAATTATATAGATTATTAGTGTTTTCCAGATTCGGAGCCACCACAAAAGTACCTTTTTAGGGGCGTGGCAGCCATTAAAAGAAAAGGGGGGGGTTAATTATTATGCCAACTTTGGAAAACATTGTGCCCATATTTCATGAACAAATAAAACGTCCCACAGACGTTTATATCCATGAGAAAAAAAATTCCAGATGTGGAGCCATCTCGAACACACCCTTTTAGGGGCGTGGCAACCATATAGGGGAAAAAAGGGGGGCGGGGTTTTCATTATGCCCACCCTGGAAATATTGTTCCCACACTCATAGAGAAATGGAACTTTCCACAAACATTGACATTCATGAGAAAACAAATTCCAGATGTGGAGCCATCTCGAACACACCCTTTTAGGGGCGTGGCAACCATATCAGAAAAGGGGGGGGTGGGGTTTTCATTATGTCCACCCTGGAAATATTGTTCCCACATTCATAGAGAAATGGAACTTTTCACAGACATTGACATTCATGATAAAAACAATTCCAGATGTAGAGCCATTGCGAACACACCCTTTATTGAAAAAAGGGGGGCGGGGTTCTCATTATGCCCAACATGGGAAAAGTGTGCCCACATCTCATAAACGAATGAAGCTAATTTCCACAGACATTAATACTCACGAGATAAAAATCACACGTGGAGCCATCGTAAACACACCCTTTTAGGGGCGTGGCAGCCATAATAAAATGGGGGGGGGGGTAGTCATGATGCCCCTATAAAAGAAAGTTGTGCCTACCTTTCATAAATGGATTAAATTCCACTCGGACAATACATTCATAAAAATCTTTTTTTTTTAATGTGAGGCCATCACAAACCTACCCTTTTAGAGGTGCGGCATCCATTTTTAAAAGGGGGGGGTACTCAATATGCACAACGTGGAAAATTTTGACCGCGTTTCATATAATAAAATCCACCTCAGATAGCTGTTTAATGTGTTGGAGTAGGGCCGCCTTTATAGTTGGAATTTACTGTTGACAAACCCTTTGTTTTCTTACACTATGCATTCTGGCCTTATCTATATTAACCCAGTTACTGGTTCTTTCGTCTGTAGAATTATTGATAAACTTTCAACTGCATCAATATCTGAATTAGGGGTATAAACTGGGGTACCTCAGTTAGTCCTGGAAAGACTAGTGTTACTTCTTCAAATACATTGTTTCCCCTACCTTTTTTTCTGACAGACCAAAAGGCATATGCAGTGTCGCACCTGTATAACGTATAATTTTTTTTAATGGATTTGGTCGGGGTAAAAAAAAACACTCATAAGAGCTTGATATACCATTTTTAAGAGAACAGAGGTGTTGTGTGGTGGGGGTACACAGATTCATTGAATGTGAAGTCATAGTGGACGTGTCCACCACTTTGTGAGGCGAGTACATCGTGTTGTTACCCAATCTGCTGTCAATGCAGCGCAACGGGTAAGGGGTAGGGGGATCTTACACTCCCCCCCCCCCCCGTAAAAAAAAAAGGATTTCCATGGCCCATTAATGTTAAATGTTAGAGTTTAGGGCTGCCATTGTGTGCTGTGTATTTGTAATTATGAAATCACTCTGGAATTTAGATGTGCATGATAATATAGGTGCAAGTACACACATTGAACAATATAACACGGGTTAGCCTACCGGTACTTACCCATGCTCTTTGGGGTAAGTCATTGTATTACCAAATAATATAGGTTATGGGCCAATCAACATTATAAGAAATCAACAACAAAATATAAAAATTGCAATTGTGGGCACAGTGAGTAGGCCCCTCACACCTCTAAAAGGATGAGTTTGCTGTGGCTCTACATAAGAACTTTCTTTTATAGGGGCATCATGACTACCCCCCCCCCCATTTTACTATGGCTGCCACGCCCCTAAAAGGGTGTGTTTACGATGGCTTCACGTGTGACTTTTTTTTCTCTTGAATATTAATATCTGTGGGAATTAGCTTTATTCTTTCATGAGATGTGGGCATTTTTTTCCCATGTTGGGCATAATGAGAACCCCGCCCCCTTTTTTCAATATGGCTGCCACGCCCCTAAAAGGGTGTGTTCGCAATGGCTCTACATCTGGAATTGTTTTTATCATGAATGTCAATGTCTGTGAAAAGTTCCATTTCTCTATGAATGTGGGAACAATATTTCCAGGGTGGACATAATGAAAACCCCGCCCCCCCCTTTTCTGATATGGTTGCCACGCCCCTAAAAGGGTGTGTTCGAGATGGCTCCACATCTGGAATTTGTTTTCTCATGAATGTCAATGTTTGTGGAAAGTTCCATTTCTCTATGAGTGTGGGAACAATATTTCCAGGGTGGGCATAATGAAAACCCCGCCCCCCTTTTTTCCCCTATATGGTTGCCACGCCCCTAAAAGGGTGTGTTCGAGATGGCTCCACATCTGGAATTTTTTTTCTCATGAATATTAACGTCTGTGGGACATTTTATTCGTTCATGAAATATGGGCACAATGTTTTCCAAAGTGGGCATAATAATTAAACCCCCCCTTTTCTTGTAATGGCTGCCACGCCCCTAAAAAGGTACTTTTGTGGTGGCTCCGAATCTGGAAAACACTAATAATCTATATAATTATGTGTTTGTGAAGTTTCCTGCTTTTGTAACAAGTGGGAAAAACCATTTTTACTGCGGGCACGACAAGTCCCGCCCCCCTTTTTTTAAATGGATGCCACGCCCCTAAAAGGGTAAATTTGCGATGGCTCCACATCTAAAACATTTTCTCGCATGAATATAAACATCTGTGCCAAGTTTCACGCTTTTATGCAAAAGTGCACAATTTTTTCACATATCCGCTGGACTATCTGTGTCACAAAGTGGTCCTTTCCCCCGGGGGGGGGGGGGGCGGAAGGGGTCTGGGTTCCAGACCAAAAAATCGCGGACTATTCTCTTTGGATACATTCCATTTTTAAAAGAGGTGAGCGTTGTTTAAAAAAAAAAGGAAACCATTTTTAATGTTGAAATGCTCTCTCTATCAGCATTGAAAACATGACAGCATAGGTTCAACGAGTAATTCCAATTGATACGATTGCTTAATTTATATAAAAATGCGTAAAAACATTAGCGAACATTTGTGATTGATTAATGCCAGGATCAACGTGCTTAACTGCTTTGAATGTGTCTAGGTGGGAAATTCATTACAAAATGTCTCCCCTGAAACGGGTACAAATATCGACATAATTTGAAAAATTGTATCGTTCATCCTCTGATTTTTTTTCTCTGATCGTAATTTTTAAGGATTGATCTTTTGGTCCTGGAAGTTTCACAAAAATCGCTCCGTACATCCTCTAGATATTTGACAGTTTTTCCAGGGTTTGTTTGAGAAAATGGTTTCTGCCATTTACTCAGCGCTGCACCGGCACGCGCACCAGATGTTGATGTATACGTACGTGACCCCTCGCGAGCACCCGGTTCCGTGTAAATACATGTGCACCGAGCTACGTGCGTTAACGACGGAGCTTCGAACTGCCCACGTCGCGAGGGGGAAATGAGATAAATTTCAACGTACAGGGCGTTACCCCTTCCGCCCCCCCCCCCCCTGCTTTCCCCCTCTAGTTTCCCAACCCAGATTCCA